CTTTGCTCTCCGTGACAGTGTCATCATCATCGAACATCGCGGATTCGTGCGTCTCCGAGTCGACCTTTATGCTCTTTTCTATACGAATATGTTCAATGTCTAGCTTGTCATCCGATTGTGTTTTATCGGTCTTGATTGATTTTTCCGTCACTACTATCTTTTCTAATTTACTAGACTTTTCCGTAGCGGTCTTGGAACTCTTTTCCACTACCTTGTCGAGAATGCCGTGACTTTCGGACGGCAATTTCGTAACAGTAACACGAAGATCCTTAACGATTTTCTTCTTCCGGCGCGGTTGAACTTCCAACTGGACAATGGATTTATCTTCATCAGCCTGCTTCTCAGATACCGTGCTCTCAGCGTCCCTCGGTCTCTTCTTGGGCGTTACTGGCACGGCCTCTTCGTCATGAATGGAAGACGTTGAGCTGCCGCCACCGCCATATCTCGTAATAGTAGCCTCAATTGCCTCTTCTATGTGACTCTCTGTGGAATTGGACTCATTCGCATTTGCATCCGTGCAGCTCGCGTTCGAACTCTGCGAGCTATGCGGACTCGACACGTGATAGTGGCGTTTCTTCAGCGGCAGTCGCTGCTCGTTTGGATTGGAACTTGTGCTAGTATTTGCGCTGCTCTTGGAATCAGCGTTCGTTAATACTTTCTCTTTCTTTAGGCGCCGTTTCAGCTTTTGATCGTCATTTGTGTTAACATCGCCGCCTTTCCTCTTTTTCGTGACTTTTTTCACGCGAAAGATTTGCGGTAGCTCTGAATGATTGGCAGCAGTGTTGTTTCTGCCCAAGCTACACGATCTCGCAAACTCATCAATCAGCTTCTCCAACTCGTGAAGGATGCACGAATCGATAATACGTATGGGTTTCTCCGGTGGTGTCAACAGTTTCTTATGATGCTTGTGATGATGACGCTTGTGGCAATGATTGTGCTGCATCGGCTGCATCGTCTTATCGCATTTGTTAGACACGTGCTTCATTATTTCGGCCTTTAATATGTCGCCGACTGGTAGCGAGATTAATGTCTGCACGCCCACGCCATTGGTCTCATGATTCGCCGCGGTTGTTTTCTTGTTGCATTTGTTCTCTTTTAAAACACGCCTGCCGACCGGTGGCGCGACCTTCTTCACTAGATTCTGCTTCTTAGATACAACAGCCGCTGCATTATTCCTGTTCTCTTTGGAACCCGTTCTCTTACCGGTATTCTTCTGATCTTTAGAAACTTGATGCTCACACGTTTTTTGTCGCGTCAACGGAACCGTGGATTTGTTAGGCACGCACGTTCTATCTTGTCTAACTTTTCGGCAACTCCTGCCATCACATTGCGGCACAAGTTTACTTGCAGTAGATCTGCTTAGGCACTTTACTCTCATCGGAGAACTCGTCGTTCCTGTCGTAGTCTTCTTGATCATCGTCCTCTCCTGCGAAAGCTTCCCCGGGTTACTGTAACGTTTCTTTTGATACGTTGTTGGTTGTTTACCTTTTGTTCTTTTGCTCGCAGGAGATACGTCTTCTTTCGCATCCCTTGACGCAATCGATTTTACGTTACCTCGTTTCCTGGCCAAAGACGTGTCTTCCTTGGCGCTCTTCAGAGTCGATTCCTTCGTAATTCCTTGCTTCTTCTCCGTTAACCGAGAATCAGAATTTTTTACAGTTTTCAAAGACTCATTTTTTTCTTTTTCCGCTTTTTCAATCTTTTGAATTTTCTCGACGATTTCTGGCCTTAGACGCGGCCTGCCGGGTCCGCGCGGTTGGGCAGATACTGCCTTCGCTGGCCTACCGGGTTTCCGTTTCGGAGGATACAGTACCCGATCGACATTTACCACCGGTTTAGTAGTGACCGGCGGTTGAATCGGTGATTGGGTCGGCGCTGGAGGACTGACAGGACTAACTGCCAGATGTAATGGACTATTGTCGACCGATTGAATGCCAGAATCGGGCGACACGTTCGACACGCATGGGTACTCGTTGTCGTTGTTCGATTTTTTACCGCTGCACTTGCTGCGCCTCTTTCGCGGCTCCGATAACATGGCAGTCTTTTCGACAAACTGCTGCAACAAAGTAGAACTGTACACAGGCACGGGATTCTGATCGCCGTTCTCACTCGTGTCCGAGTCTGCACCGAGCGACATGCGTTCAATCGCTTTCGATACCAATCGTCCGCTCTCGGAGTCTTCAAATCCGTCGAACGGCGCGTCCTCCTGCTCGTGCGAAGGTACGATCGCAGTCAAATCTTCTTGATTAATTTCTTGTAGCGATGTGTGATGTTGCTGCGACTGTTGCTGCTGTGTCTGTTGCGATGCCACGTGTCCCGCAGATGAGTCCGAATCTTCGCTACTACATTCTGAGGACTATAAGTCGAGTGTTTTTCCAAATAGTGTTTGTCCATTTAATTTATAATTATTAATTATAAGATAATTATTTACCTTATTTCCGTGATTGGTTTTAAGTTTCTTTGTAACGTTTCTCTTATTTTTTTCACATTTAATTTTCTCGGAGTCTTCCTTTTTTGGGCCTTTCATAGTGATTTTTAATTTCAACGCTCCCTGTAAACACGATATATTTTCCTTTTAAAGTCGCTATAATAAAAAACAAAAACTAGTAGGATTAGAATATATAATATCTCGTTTCAATATACTTGTTCAAAGTTGGTTTCTTGAATGGAAAACGTTTGTTCACTGTGTTCGGAAGAACAGTCCGAATTAGATCCACTATCCTCTTCTTCGTCACCGCTACTTTCGTCGTCTGACTCTGAATTAGAATCTGAATAAGAACAACTGCCTTCGCTTCCACCAGAGCTTTCGTCGTCAGAATCAGAGTCTTCTTCGGAATCGACCGAATCTGTTCCTATAAATATATCAGAGACAGTTATTACGATTTATTTACGCATGGCGATGATTTCTAAATAATTGAGATTTGCAGTTATACCATTAGGTTCAGTAGTAGGATCCCAACTACCACCACCCTTTATGGCATCCATATCAACGGTCGAAGGGAGCTCTTTCTCTTGCTCCCCATCGTTTTCCTCCCAATTCCAATTCTGTAATTCTAAATCTGAGGGATGGTGAATAACGGCGTTCCATCCTGAATCACCAGACATTTTTCAGCTTATCTGACATCCAGCTGGATCCAATAGAATACCATTCCTTATACTTTTGTTCACTCATCAAGCCTTTTTACGATAACAAAAAGCATATCTTTGAGCCTTGGCTTATAGAATATTTATTCGCAAATAGTCACTAATGTCATTTTTGACAAGTCAGGCAAGCTTAGCCAGTTTAAAGATTTCGCTGCACTGTAAAAAGAAGAATATTTTCATTAATTTAATATTAATTTTTGATAACACCTATTCAAATATCAATATTATTAGATATTATCTAAAAGATAATTTTATAAAACCGTGATAAAAAAAATTAATTGTCAAGAATATTTTTTTATAATAAAATATTATTTCTACAAAAATAAACTTGTTAGTCAAAAGCTTTACGACAAGTATATGTCAAAAGATCTCAATTGTGCAATTCGGTGCATATTTAAAACGTGAAAAAACATTTAAAGTCCTAACAACAAGTATGTCTAAATTGTTATTCGGCCCACGTTCTAAAAATTTCGCGGTCGCCTCTGGTGACGCGTCATACGCAGGTAAACAAGAGATACGTAACATTTGCGCGAAATCGGAGCTCGCGACGCTGGCGTTGTATATCCGTTTCGGCTCCGCAGAACGCATGACTGCCCCGTCGATGGGGTCGCAATTTTTCGATAACGTTACCTGGCCGGCGTACGCGCCGATATCGTCCACGCACGAATCGGCGACGATCAAAAAACGACAGCTGTTTCCTCTCACGCGTTCGTACGCGCCAGATGTGCGTCTCTCGGTAAACGTCGCGATTTGGCGCGAAATGTCGCCGCGTCAGCCCCGATACGAGGCGTTGTCGCGTCACGACGATCGCCAGGAAGGCGACGACGATGCCGTGGGAGAGTTTGGGTATCGCTCGCGCGGTGACGGGACGACGGGATCGCCTTCCCGCCGCGACGAAACACAATTGGAAAGTCCGATGTTTACGTCCCCCCCCCCTGATCACAACGCGATCACAAAATGGCGTTTCACGGTGACGGTTGTTAACTCGGCTGCGCCGTCTCTCCCCGGCCCGTTTAAGGGCCAACTTTATCGCGCCGAGGGCGCGAAAGGGCGCGTTGCTCGCGCGCGCGATTCACGCACGGCGACGGTCGCAACCGGCCGAGACTCTCCGCCGGACGATTCTTCCCCCCGGATCCCGGGTACTTTGCGCCGGATAGATTCGCGTGTCGCGTGTGCGTCTCAAGCGCGAGACGTGCGTCAAGATTCGCGCATCGCGTTTCGCGACACTGCTGCTCGGCGCGCGCCGCGACCACAGCGCCACCAAGGGCGAATCACGTATCGATATTTCTGCGGATAATGAGGGAAGGTTATCAGGATATTTTTATCTTATCGACGAGGCTTCGCGTGATTCGCGCCTCGCGGCGCTCGCGTCGCGGCGATACATTTCAAAATTTACTTTTGAGTACGAGTCGAGTAAATATATTTTTAAATATTGAAGAAAGAGAAGAGAATTGCAACAAACTACAGAAAGCATGCATAAGAGAAGAGAATTGACGTATATATGCATTTTACTTTCATACCGTAAATGTCAAAACACGATTTTTTGAGAACAAAATAGGGAGAAAAGGAAATATACGAAATGTCAATCGAACTGTCAAAAGAAGCAAGCACCTGTCAAATATTTTATCTATCTGTCATTTCTCTGTATTTTTCTACCATTGGTTTTAAAAATTTTTCCCTGGATTTAAAAAGAAAGATTTATCGGACGTGAATTTTCACAAATTCATGAAGTTGATCGAAAGAGAAAGGGTGGGAAAAACATGGCGGAACAGAGGCAGGGAGAGCGGGAGAAAAAGAAAGTCCCTAGCCTCGCTGGCGGGGACCTCTGTCATGATTTCGCCTTTCGCTGTCTCGCGTCTCTCGTTGCAGCGCATGCAACGCCGAAAGCACCGTATATAAGAGAGCCGCGTATACGTGTGTGGGTGGTAGGGAGTAGGAATTCGGAGTCGGCAATATGGCCGGCCAGATGTGCAGCGGCAGGGTGTCACGGTGGTGTTAGTGCCGCGCGTTGGAACTGGAGAGTACTCGGTCTCGTTATTTATATGTCGAACTATCGCAAGTCTTGTCCGAATCTCGCGTGTTTTCATGGGCTCGGTGATATACTGTGCAGGAGCAGGAATACGGCTTGCATGAGGGCATAGCACACGCTCACCGGCCAAGCAAACATGAAGTGAGTAATACATGCATCTGTAACAGAGTGCGAAAGAGAGAGAGAGAGAGAGAGAGAGAGAATATCTCTCGGAGATTCGATGGAGCGAGCGACCGACCGACCGACCGTGACCGAAAGCTTCGGAGTTTTCCTCCATCCCAGAGATCTCTCTCCTTCCAACAAAACAATCGAAACCGTCGCGTCCCCTCGACTCCTCGCCGACAATGTTGTGTCGGTCAATATCGGAAGGGCCGACCGTCTCGTCCTCGTCGTCGTCTCGAATACTCCGACAATGTAAGACGCTAATTTTTTGGTGGACGAGAAGGATCGCGAAGGACCGACCGAGATATCGATCACGCGACATCAGTTCGTGGGGGCGGATCGCTTTTTGCCTTTAATTCGACCCTTTTTCGTTCATTTAAATCCCGAAATCTCGGGACTGCGAGAGGGTAACGGCCCGCCTGCCCCCCCCCGGCTGGGTCCGGCCCTCGAGGGCGAGCGAGGACCGGTAATGATTTTTGACAGCACCGGAATTTTCGCCGGAGATCCGGAGAGTCGTTCTCCTCTCCCCATCTTCTTCCGCTAGCATGCGTGCTCCGCTTTTGCTTTTGTTTCACGAGCGACTTGTTTTTTTTCTTTTTCTTTTTTTTTTTTTTTTCCTTTCTTTACGAGCGCTCCGCAAGCGCAGCTTGCCTTTCGGAGACGGCGAGTCCTGCGTTTATTACGTCTCCTTTCTCCCTCTCTTTCTTCTTCTTCTCCCTTTCCTACTTGCCCTCCCCCCATTCCCCCTCCTCCTCTTCACGCATATGTGTGCGTGCAACGTCCCGCCCGTTGCACTTCTGTAAAGTCTTGGCCTTACATTTTTGAAATTTCGATATAACTGATAGTGTCCCGGACGACCCTTTTTTTCCCTCGTAATCTCCTATCAATTGTGTACATTGAAACTGTCTGAAAACGAAACGTCAACCTCACGGAATATACCCGTCCTATTATTGTGCCGATGCGTCTTTCAAATACGAAGAGCTTGTCCCCTTGTCTCATTTTCTTCCATACCGGTAAATATTAGGCGCTTTTTGCAATAGCGTATTCCTGAAACGCGTAAACTTTCACGTTTGACGTAAAGCCGCTGTATTGTCATGGTAATGTTCATTTCAGGTTTCTTTCAACGCCAAAGCCGTCCTCCCGTCTCGCGGTATTTCTGGCTTGTTTCCATGTAAACGTTAAAATTTAGTTAATTGGTTAAAAGTATTGAAAATATATTTTTTTGAATTGTTTTTTTTTTTTTTTTTTTATTTTTTTGAATTCGTCGAACGAAACTCTCGAAATTTAACGAGATTTGTCCGACTTTCCATTGTCCTGTCCGCTTTCTTGGAGGAACGAAACTTGCTGAAGTGTCGCGTTTGAAAGCGCAATCTCAACATTTAGTTTCAATTCTGCTCGTTGTTCGTATCAGATTGCATTGATGCGTAATGCAATAGTGTATGTCGCGGAGGTTACATGACGCGTTCAAAAATGCGAAGGTTGAAGATAACGCAACGAAATTGTAGCGTGCTTCAAGGCGTTTCAATGTCTTTCTCTCTCTTTCTTTCTCTGGCAGGAACGAGTTTAAGTCCAATTTTTATGAGCTTGACATATACTTATTCTCTCAATTGATCCCAGTGGAAAAACTTAAAATGCAATGTTTGAAAATTCCTTTTCATGCACGTTTCAAATAATGTTGATAATTAATTATATACGGTTTTACTTCGGACCGTTTCGTATAAACAAATTAATCATGTAAACGTTAATGAGGGAAAACAGCTGAGACTGCTATATAATTACTATTTTAACTTAATTTTTTTGCGTCCAGAATAGATATACTATGTATGATATTTTCTACGTCTAATATCATGTATTTTAAATAATCAATTTTAGATAAACGTGCATTATAAATGAATTTCGATTATGCCATTTATTGCTTCTTGATTGAACAACAATCGATATTAATACATAGCTTACAAATCTAGTTCTGCGCAGATTCTGCAATTTTCTGTTACTCCATGACTCGGGCCATTCGCGGTGCAATTATGAAAATTATGCCCGACATTATATATGCCTCACATGTGAACTCGGCAAAAAAAATTTTTATTATCTTGTCTCTGAAAAAATAACGCAACAGGATCGCGTGTACTATTGCGAGATTTGTCTAGTAATCTCGATTAAAATCGTACACGATTGTACATATCAGCGAATGAAATATTTGTATAATAATAATATAAAAATCTAATATATTATGTTACACATATACATACATAATTATATAAATCGGATTAAAAAAAAAAAAAAATAAATAAAAAAAATATGTTCGACACCGTTTCATCGTTGTTATTGCATTCAGACACAGATGCACTTAATGCCGCGAATGGCCCAAGTCTTTAACGGTACAAAGCGCTCGTTAAACAATATTAATAACAATATGGGCACAACAATGAGCGCGTGCCGAGGGTTCTGATTCAGAACTCTGATTTCGTCATGCAACATCCCCCCCCCCCCCCCCGTATCGGAAAACACGGACCGAAAA